TCATCTCCCCAGCATGTTCTCCACGCCTTTCTTCCCCTCCCCTCAGGGTGTTAGAGCAACCTGGCCTTCCTTCAATTCCTCCGAATATCATTATTCCTCTTGCTTTAATGCCTTAACACACAATCCTCCTTTGGCCTGGAATGTTCTTCACCCTTTCTCACCTAGTAAAGCCATACTTTCCTTTTACATCTCAAGCTTAATTTTCACTCTTAAGAAAGCTTTCTTTAATTCCTCCAGATTAAACTCCATTATTTGTTTTCATAGCACCTGTAATTTTTCTTCTTAGTACTAACCAGAAATTATAAAAATATTTGTGAGTATCTGATTATAAGTCTTGCCCTTGTTAGACTGTAATTCCTATTAATTATTTAGGGGCCATGCATGTTTTATTATTCACTAGCACAGTACTTAGTAGAAAATAAAATGATGAATAGACAGGGCATAAATACTGAAGAAATTTATATATCTATACAATACATAAACCATATTATATTGTCTAAATAGAATATCTATATTAATCTACAAAGACAATTGCCAAATAACAATGCCTCCCATTTTTTTCAGTGTCAATAACCTTAAGGTATGGAGATTTTTCTTAAGATATTTTGCTTTTTATGTTAATTGTACACAATAAAAATAGAATGTCAAAGATTCTTCACTTTATGAATATTTTGCCAGCACAGGGATCAAAACACTCCATTTAAAATAAATTATAGAAGGAAAGGAAGAGACGGAGAAGGAAGGAGGAGAGAAGAGAGGGAGGAAGGGAGGGAAAGACAAGCTGTATAAAAAGAATAACTGCTTCTAAAATATCAGTAATAAAATAACTTCAAAAACTCACTTTGAGATCTTCAAAGGTCTTATTTTTCAGAGATATAGATATACAGAATTGTACTAGATTATAATTATATACAGTAATATGTACAACATTGTATTTTATACACTATATACTAGAGTGTATAGTTAATCATAAACATTGTAATAACCTACTTAAATGGAAGATTGAAAACAGTTGAGTTTTACAGGTTACAAAATTGTAGATGGAGACGTTTTGAGATCTAAAAGACAAGCATGACACTTTACTGGGCAAGAAAGGATAACATTATTCCAAGCAGAATGAATGCCAAGTGTCAGGGCCTTAAGGCAAGAGAAACAGGGACACTGAGGAACCCGGGAGGCCAGAACACCCTGAGGGGAGAGAAGGGTGTGGAGAAGCAGGATTTTAGGTCTCATACTGAGAGATGCAATCATGATGTGAAAAGATCAAAATCACTGAACACTAAAGCACAAAGCCAAAGCATTTGAAATTTTTTTTTTAGAATTTCAAAAACTGACCCTGCATTACCCTGCATCTCTCCTGAAACATCCTAAACTGACCAATATTTTCATATTTTAACTATTTTAATGTTTTTATTTTATTTTTGAGACAGAGACAGAGCATGAACAGGGGAGGGCCAGAGACAGAGGGAGACACAGAATCTGAAACAGGCTCCAGGTTCTGAGCCGTCAGCACAGAGCCCGAGGCGGGGCTCGAACCCAGGAACTGTGAGATCATGACCTGAGCCGAAGCCGGACGCTTAACCGACTGAGCCACCCAGGCGCCCCTTACTTTAACTATTTTAAAAACAGAATAATATAGGTACTGCTGCAAAACGAAAATATAGTGTGCAGACACGAGTTAACATGGCATGCCTGCCTGGTATTCTTCCAAGGTCTGCTTATAAGGCTGGCCCTTGCCTGGATTTCAGGAGGGTTCCTGAGATTCTCAGGATGGAGAAGAGTGTCTCACTATGCCTAAACTGTTGGTACAAATAATATGGTTTATGCTGAACCCTTGCTTTCCTTCTGGGACTCTAGAATCTTCATACATGCCACCAGGCAGAAGCTGCGTATTTGGCCAGCCCCCCAGTAAAAACCCCGATTGCTGAGTCTTTAATAAGAGTCCCTGGTAACATCTCAAATGTGCTCTAACAACTCTTTGCTGGGAATTAAGTGGTCTTGTAGGACTCCACTAGGAGTGGAGGTCTTGTGTTTGGTCTCCCCTGGACTTAGCCTCTCATGAGCACCTTTTCCTTTGCTGCCTCCACTCTGTATCCTTTAGCTGTTAATAAATTACAACAGTGAGTTCTCCTAAAGAATTACCGAACCCAGGGAAGGTCTGGGGAACTCTGATGCACAATCAAATTACATACTGACTCATAGAAAGGTTTAGTTTCATTATGAAATTAGAACTGCAATCTTCTAATTTTTAATAAAGTATAAAACAGACAAATAGCATCTCCTCCATAGTGAGAATGCAAGCATTTACCTGGTGGTACTCTGGCGTTTAGGTTAATTCTGATTTAATTATACATTAGCATACACCTAGGAGTCACATTTTAAAATATGTCAAATATTAGGGAATATAGTTTCCCTATAGGGAAAATAGTTTCTCTAATAAATGTTTTCTTATAAAACAAGAGTACTTGTCCTCAACAGCCATTGGGCTACATGTGGATATTATATAATAACATGCCATTAAGGTACCCAGCATAAAAGGCAAAAACATGTTTATAAACTCTCAAGTAGAAACAGAAAAAAACAAAAACAAAAACCACCTAAGGTACCTGTCAGTCTAAAGTAAACATGTGCTGAATTACTATGGATTCATTACAAGCTTAGGGCAGTTACATTCTTAAATCTTTGAAGATAAGAGCCATTCATTACTATTAAATATCTTTTTACTTTAGACTCTGGCATTTATAATGTCTCATGCTATTAGGAAAATGATCCTGGTCACCGTTACAAACTTGATTTTAAAAGCTGTTTTAGAGCAGAAGGAACTGGGTCCTAATTTGGACTCCTTTCAGGCTGTTTTTGAATTAATAAGCACTTCCCTCACTTAGCTGAGCATTTCTTGCTTACTAATAAAATGAACTGAATATTCCATGGAATTTAAAATAGGCTGCTGAATGTCACTTCAAGAACTATTAGCATTGCTGCAAACATGTTCAGAAACAGAGCAGATAGTAATGAGACAAGACACATCGCTGTAAGAAAGCAAATTAATTTAGTGACAGCTTATTGAACTTTCAGGTGATAATCTCTGGGTATGCCTGCTTTTGTGAATATGAATTGAATATATCTTCTCAGCAATATAAAAACATTTCTAAGTTACTGGCATTTTCATAAAGTAGCATATTATTGAACATGTCCTTGAAATTACATTGTTGGGACCACTTCAAGTATTTTACTTTTCACAAGTATATGTGGATGCAAAACTAGTTTTTATTTTTTGTCACGATGTGCTATAAAAATGATGCTTCCAGTAAACTGGTGAAAAGGTTACAAGGATCCATTCCAAGAAGTTTGAACTTGCTTCGGGTGTGGAATTAACCAATTAAGTTACCAAATACAGTCTTTTAGGGATGGTCTTAAGGATGGAAACAGTTCACTGGGATTCTTAACCCAGATCTGCAGCGCCTTTCTAAAACACAAATCTTACTGTCATCCTCTTATTAAACCAACAAACCAAAAGCAACCTGAAACACCTCAGTATCTTCACTGGAAGACAAAGTCCAAGCTATTCATTCTTAGTAACAAGACCCTTCACAACTGTCTGCACCTAATGTACCTTCCTCTCCTTTTGTCTTTCCCAGGAGCCCCTACAATCTTGCCACACTGAACTATCATTTACCTCTCCCCAAGAAACCTACTTTTCCATGTCTCCCTGCTTGTCTATCTGTTGCTTCCTCCTGCTCCTTTTTCATTTGCAGCTGTATGCCTGCCTGCTCATTTTTCAAGTTCCAGCCTGTCTCCTCCTGAGAAATCTTTTCCAGTGCTTCTAGGCAAAGTGAGTTACGCCTTTCCTCAGGTTCCATAATGCTTTTTATTCAACTCTGTTGCAGATTTCCTCAGTTAGCAGAGTACCCTGCACATACTACATGCTCAATAAATATATTTATTTATAGGAGTTAGGCCAAGACACACAGGCACCCCAAACTAGTAGATAACGAGATGCTCTTATTTCTTAAATCAATACAGATGAAATTTTGAAAACATAAATTAGTTCCCAGGAATACTGGAGTTCTTGATAAATCTCAGTGACTGGCAATTTCAAGATACAATATATTACAATTTGTAAGCATCGGAGGTTTTACTTGCACGGAAGATTTTAACCTATCAGTCCCTTTTTTTTTTTTTTTAATCACTCCCTTTTTAAAACCAAGATATCTTTCAATTCTGTGCATGTATACTCTATTCTGATTTTTACTCTAAGATCATTGACCCTCTCTCCTTTTTAATCACTCCAAGTGTGAAGCTTCCATTAATTTAAGCCTAATTAAACGGAACCTTTAATTAGTTTCATTCACCCCATATGCTCTCTCTTTCAGAAAAAAGTAAACAAGAGGAAAAAGATCTGAAAAAATTTCAGTTCTAAAGCAAATACTAAGTATAATCTCTTACATCTTCAGAATTTATAATACCATAAAAGAGGATTTCCTAGTGTGCTTTGGAAAACATTAACCTTTATAAGTCATTTTTTAATAAAATAGGGTCAAAGAAAAGGTATCTGCTATAATATTTTGCATTCCACTGTATGCATTTGAAATGAAAGGAAGTCGAATCACATTTTCTAATAAGAACTTTTATCTTTATATCTTAGTTGGAAGAGTGTAAGATTAGAAACACAAGTTTCATTTGTTCATAGAACAAATTCTGGTTCAGTCTAAATATACAAGACAAACTTTTAAAAATACTTGATCATAAAAGAGTAAATCATGACCTAACCTCAGAGAAGAAACATAGATTAAGTCTGGTTCTCGAGGAAGGCAAACCATTATCTTTAAGCGTAACTCTTCACGAAAAAGTGCATGGAGTCCTTAAATCATAGATTAGAAATTACTTCTGCAATCGTTGAAGTCGTGCCAAATGTTCATTCTCCTATAAGCAAATGAGTCAGCCACTACTCCAGTGCCCACGCCGGACAGTCTGTTAGAAACCAATTAAAGGGCAGGTACCTTTATCAGAGTATGTGTGTTCTAATGCATGAAGATCAGGCAGTAGATGAATGCAGTTTATGCAGCAGTAGGTGAAGAAATCAAGGATGACTACTTTTCCACACAGATCCTTGTAGACAGAAATAGGCTCTTCAGTGTTCAGCCATTCTAATCCTGAAATTTACAAAATAAATTATGATAAAAAGAAAAGGCAAAGATAATTTATCTAAAACTTTCCATTAAAACATAAACCATTATTATTTCAAGCAGGGGATAGGGCAGTGGGGCAAGATGGGAAAGACGCTATTATGGGGCAATATGCAAACATAGTAAGAAAAAGCTACTAAATTCTTTCAGAAATAGAATAGTCTGTGTGTGAAAGAAAACAAGATCAACGCATGTAGGTAAAAACAAGAGTCAATATCAAATATTAAGAGGACCTAAGTACACAGTCAGGTTCAAAGGAGCTTTTTAGAAAGAAGCTCAATCTTAAGAACAGCAAGACAGGACTAAATTCAAAAAGGAACAAAGTGTTAAAATATAAAGATAAACATACAAAATGTCTAATTTCCTAAGAACTAAAATGCTCTGGATTTGAAGGAGGCCTTAACCACAAAATTTCAAATGCAAAGTTAAGCAAATACACTATCACAGATTTCATGGAGGCAGTATTAACACTGATGAAGAACAGGTTTGCCTCCCTCCAAAGAAAAATGGAATCTCATTAATCTGTACTTTTTAAAATCAGAATATATAATTGCTTGAGTAGGACTTACAATTTTGTTAATAATTAAAAGATTTTGGTAAATATTAAAAGCACAGCTAACCAATTTAGAAAAACAAAGATAATGAGTTTGTGGTTTATAAGTAAATGCAGCCACTAAAACCGTTAATTGTACCTCGGAGCAGGTATCTGGAAATATTTTATAGAAATGGAAAGCCAAAGTTAGGTGGAAGAAGTGTATAATAACAGCTAACGCCTAATAGCAGTAACTAGAGTTACTCAATTTAAACAAAATTCTAAAAAAAAAAAAAAAAAAAAAAAAAAAAAATCGAAATCAAACCAGTATTTCTGCTTTAATAGTCCAACTTAGTGAGGTTTTAGGTGAGAGTGAGCTATTATGCATTTTTATAAAGTGTTAATTGCACACCAGATCAAGTAATCACATAAAACCTCAAACGAATGTATATTTCATATCTTAATGGCAAAATATTTATGAATCTGTCTTTTAAATTTATTTTCTGTAAATAGTTAAGAGTGACTTAGATTGGGGGGTAAGGAAACTATTATTAAATATCTGTTATTTTCTTACCATGCTTAATAAATTTTACAGTAACAATGAATATAATTTTTAAAAGCTGCCAACATTTGGGACGCCTGGGTGGCTCAGTCAGTTGAGCTTTGAACTCTTGGTTTCCGCTCAGGTCATGATCTCACCATTGGTGAGTTGGAGCCTCACATCAGGCTCTGTGGGGACAGTGCAGAACTGTTTGGGATTCTCTCTCTCTGCCCCTTATCCACGTGGTGTCTCTGTCCCTCTAAAATTTTAAAATAAGCTGCCAACATTTATTGAGATCTCCTATGAACTAAGAACTTTAGATACATTACCTCTGACCCACATAATTAACCTGAAAGGTAAATACTAGCTTTATTTTATAAGGTAGTAAAGTAAGGCTTGGAGAAATCAAGTAACTTGCTCAAAGTCATGCAGCTAACAAATGAAATAACTAGGACTTAACCCCAAATCTGTCTGAATCCATCCATTACACCACAGTTTCCCATAAACACTTACGTCTTTTAAGAAATGAACAAAGCATACTGTTTGCGTTAGGTTTAGGACTTCTCGATTATAGTTCACTGATAAAGAAACCAAAGAAAAACTCTTACCTAATACTGTGAGCTCAATAATCAGCTCCAGCAGAAAATCTGATTACGTCAAATACGAAGCCTGAATATTTTGTTATATTATTTATGAATCACGAAGGTCAAATCTCATGGTAATAAAATACACCCAGTGTAACTATAAACAAGACTAGAAAACAAAAACATTGCCCCCAAACCTCACTGGTGACTAGTTTGTAACACTGTACTATGTAACTTCTTACAAAGTTTTTTTTTTTTTTTTTAATAAACATGCACATATGTATATAATCTCTTTAATTTCTTTGATGGGTTAAGCAGTCACGCACCCAATTCTCTTGTAATAATTCCACAATATTTCAAATCCAGCCTAGGATTAGCAACAGGAAAAAAAAACCAAACAACATTTTTGAAGCTAGGAGCAAAAGGCTTGGAAAGACACGTGAGACTCTGTTGTCAGAGGCGAGGTTCCGATATACCTCCCAGGAGATACTGAACCCTGCCATATCCAACCGATTAACTATACATGTGGTTTCGGTGTCATGCCAGGAGACACGCCAACACCAACAAAACAATGCCAGTCCCAACCAAAGAAGGGAAAGTACGGTTTCGTTTATCATAGCAAGATGTGCTTCCCAAATAGCACTACTGCGGGTATCAGTTCCCTGGTGTTCCAAGCACTCAAAGAACTGGGATTCACACCCTGTTGACTGGCCATAATTGATTCAGATTTTAAGAATGACAAATGTCACGACTTTGAACGGAGAAGTGTGGCACAGCTAAGATACTTGCCAACCCGGGGTCTGCAGAGTCTGACTTTGGCGGTTATTATTAGCTGTGAAGCCTTAAGGAAGTTACTTAGCCTTCCCGTGCCTCAGTTTCCTCAACTATAAAATAAGTCTGTTAAGAAGCCTCGGCGGGTTGTAGAGAAGGTTAATTAGTCCCCTGAAGTGTTCACAACGGTGGGTGGCACAGACGTGCTAAGTGTCAGGATGATGCACAGAGGATGGCAATGACGACGCTGGGCAACCAGACTGCAACAACAGGGTGGCATGGACATGTCAGTCGTCGCCAACCGGACCCACGAAGCATTCGTGGAATGTCTAAGTTAACACAAGGCCCGGGCATGGGCTCGGGACACAGTGACGAAAGTGCACGTCCCCGCGCTCCAGAAAACCACCCTCTGCCGCCGCTTCCGGCCCGGGGGAAGCGGCACAGCGGGCGAACCGCCCCCGCGCGGCCGTACTACCCTGCCTAGCCCCCCGCTGCAGGGGAGGGCGCAGTCCCCGAGGAAGGGGAGGTTCCGGGAGGGGTCCCCACCCCGAAGCCTGCCCCTCACCTTCCGGAAACTCGGGCACTGACAAGTCCTGCTCCCAGCCGTCCACCTTCTGCAGATACTGGTAGACCAAGCTGTCCTTCTCCTCCTGGGTGACGGCGTCGAGCAGGGCGTACTCCAGAGATGTCTGAGCCGGGAGCAGGCCCGCGAGGCTGGAGCCCCGGGCGCCGGGGGCCGCCATGTTCTCTCCGGACAGTCCAGAGGCGGCAGCCGGGCCCGCGGGAGGGTCTCGTGCAGGGAGAGAGGAAGCGCTTACGGTCCTTTGGTTTCAAAACGGCACATTCGCTTCACGCTCCCCCAGCCCCCACTCCACGCAAACGACACCGTTTCTTTTGTAATCATGCATTCCGATGCTAAGGTACAAAGTGTTGCAATTCCCGGGCCCGTAATTTAGCCACCGGCCCAAGCCACCCCGCCCCTTCCAGAGCCTCTCGGCACAGCTGAGCCTGGACATTGGGAGCGCCAGATTCAGCATGGAGAAAGCCTGTGGGTCAGCGTTCCAGGAGCTCTAAGAGAACCATTCCCTCCCCCCGCCACGCACACACACACTTCACTTTGGAAATGAGAGGGGGTTAGAACAAAAATAAGATAAAAGAAATCCCTAGGACTTAAAAGGACACAAACTTTTTAGAAGTCCCGCCCTTAGACCGGGGTCAGCCGATTCGACACAGCAGTGGCAAGGGGACGCTGTTCCCGCCAAGACACGAGAGGTAACGGGGTGGGGGTGGGGGTGGGAAGGATGTCCTCACGGGAGAGATTTTCTTAAAGTTGGGAGTGACTGGCAATGGCTTTGGCTTATACACAAATACAGTATTTTGTCGCCCTGCTGTGCTGAAAGTGCGAGCGTGAACAGATTGTCAGCGGAGCGGAGCGAGTGGCGGGAGGGGGGCGCCTAGCGGAGCGGACGCAGCTGGAGCTGCTCCCGAGGGTGTGCGGGTGGCAGGTGGGCTGCCGCGAGGATCCGGGTGGGCCGAGCTTCCGACTTCAGAAGTGGAGGGCTCTGATGGCTTTTATAGAGCCGGCTGTGCTAGCAGCTCACCCTCTCCCTGCCTGGGAGGTGATAGGCCCCACTCACTGGCCTTGCAGCCTCCTAAGTTCAAAGAGAAGGTAGAGCAGGTGGGAGGCATCAGGCCGATGAACGTGGGTTTTGAGGCTGGTGGAGGGAGAGAAAGCTGGCCACCCCTAGGGCAGACCACTTCTGCGGTCTGGAGTTCGGAGTGTGGGTGGCCTTAGTGCAAGCACAATTTCACATATTTGAATTTTGTTTGTTCACTGTGCAGTGTGTGTCCGTTGCAGCTGGAGGAAGATACTGGACTGACCCAGGAAGCTGATGTGGCTGAATATCCAAGAGTCACAGATAAGGGCAATTTTTACCCCCTGAATCACACACCTCTTTGATGATGATGTGATTAGGGTGGTACCCGCAAGCCGAGGTAGCCATTTAATGTTTGGAAAACCTGCTAAGCCCGTTGCCCAGGGACTGTGTTCCATTTGTGAATTATTTGGACAATTGTCCAATTGAAAAGGAACAGACAGGAGTTTTATAACAATTTTACAAAGCTCACCCTGAGATTAAGCTGTTGAACGTATACTTCCCATTAGTGTTTAATTTTCAAAGTATTACTGATTCTTATTTTTATGAATCAAGTTCTTGGAAACGCCAAGTCACTTGAATGAAATAGCAGCCACAATGGTAAACTTCTCAAACGCTACCCCTGTGGTAGGTTCTCTTAATTTTATTGTGGTATAAATGGAATAGCATGTGTTCTCAGGTATAAGGTTTGTCGTTTGCCAATACATCCATTACCAAAGCTTTAGATTCCCATCGAGTTAGTGGGTTTGGGTTTTTGTTTTTTGGTTTTTTTGGCAGCAAAATCTTTCCATTTAAAAATTTTGTAACCAATAGATTCTCAATTTTCCTAAAAATCATTTTGCCATGTTAGAGGATGCTTTTTTGGAAGAAGACATCTGGGAATACAAATCTAAAAGAAAACCAAAGCCGGTACATACAAATAATTGCTCTGAGAATACTCCAAAATCTGTTGAAAAAGCAACAGATGGAAAATACCAGTCAAAACGAAACAGAAATAAAAAAAGAACGGTAGAAGCTAAAGAAAAGACAAAGGACCCCGAAATTTGCCTTGGAGAAACAGAGAGTCAGACTTCTGTAGCTTCTAGTCAGAATTCTAGTTGTGAGGATGGTATTCAGCAGTCCCAAGATCAGGAGGCCACTCCAGGAAAGCGCTGTAGGACTCGCAAAAACAAACACGTATCTCCAAAGATACGTCCAGTTTATGATGGATACTGTCCAAACTGCCAGATGCCTTTTTCCTCATTGCTAGGTCAGACACCTCGATGGCATGTTTTCGAGTGTTTGGATTCGCCACCGGTCTCTGAAACAGGTAAGACTGCAAAAAAGGTAGTAGTTTTTAAATAGCCTAAAAGATCTGCATTAGGCAGAGGAATCAGTCCAGTGGAACAAGCAAGGCAAGCAGGAAACTGAAAGGGAGGGGAGGCGCTGAAGTATCAAAGTATAAATGACTTAACCCTAGAAGCAAACAAAGAAACCCTCCTTAAGGGTAAAAGGGTAACAGTCAATGGTATGTTTGTAGAGAATGTTGCAAACTTGAAAACAGTCGAAATGCATTTTATTATTTGATGAGCGTTCCTAAACATCTCCGTTATTTTTTTTTTGTCAGTGTTAATTGAGCACATACTGTGCTAGGTACTTTAATTCTGTTTACTTACTTGACTCTCACAATGACCCTGAAAGGTAGGTGGTACTGACCTTTTATAGATGAGCATTCTTTTTAGAGTTTTACTTATTTTAAGTAATCTCTATGCCCCACGGTGGGGCTTGAATTCACGACCCCAAGATCAGAGTCGCATGCCCAGGCACACCTATAGAGCAGCACTCTTGAATGTTAAACTGCCCATTTTGTTCTCTTTTGTGAAACAGAAATTTAAAGAATTATGCATATAGTCTTTTTTTTTTCTTTCAATATATTTATTTTGAGAGAGCGCACACACAAGCAGAGGAGAGGCAGAGAGAAAGGGAGAGGGAGAGAATCCCAAGCAGGCTGTCAGTGCAGAGCCCACATGGGGCTTGAACTCACGAGCCATGAGAGCATGACCTGAGCCAAAATCAAGAGTCGGGATGCTCATCTGACTGAGCCACCCGGGTGCCCCTATAGTCAAGTCTTCTAAATGTGATTGTGTTGGATCTGTCGTGGTATTGTACAGAAAGAAGAACTGGGAAGGAATCTTGGGGTTTTAAGATTCTAATTTAAAATGTGCCAAATGATAAATGAAGTAATGCTATGCTTTTATTATCTTTTAAAATCTATAATGTCATGTTTAACGTAGGAAGTCCTACTTGGAGTATATGAAGAATGGGTTGTTATGATTTGTGTATTTCAGAGATATCACATATACCATATATAGATTTCTAAATCTCAAAGAATTAAAATTCAGCAAAATAAAAATACTACTCAGTATGGCTTATATGTTATGTATGATTCAGAAGACATTTTTATTATTAACCTCTAGTTATTTTAAAGTACTGCACGAAGATGCAAAAGAACTTTAAAAAAATTGGCATTAGTTTTTATAAAATGAAAGCCTCATCAAATGCTAGTATTTTTGCTCTTAAGTGGCTCGGAAATCAGAAATGGAAGTTGGACTCCCGTGGGGAGCACCTCAGGGTGAAATGTCTTAGGATGAAACCACCTGAAAGAGGTTTTTCTTTAGGTTTTTCATTGCCTAACCTTAGGAATAGAATCTCAGACAGACTCTTCTTGAATTGAATTCGGTTCCATAACAAATACTTTGATGAGGTGGTTTTAAATTAAGCAGTGAGGTCTTCTAGTTTAATGTAACATCTTTTTGGAGAGGAAGAGGGGTCATTTTTTTCATTTTTATTTTTTTTATAAACCTGGAAATTAACGTACAAGGGGATTTGCCAAGATGGTTTACGGAATGGTTCTCAATTATAATAGTGTGATGGGGAGTAGTTTGCAGATTATTAAAGCCTTATTATTAACCAGTTTATCAAATTGAATTTCAAATCTTAGAATCTAAAATATTCAGTGTATGAACAGCTATTACTAATTAGACTATTACTGTTATCCTATGCAGTGTGAATATTAAAAAAAATGGACCCTAACTGGGTACTTTAATCGTCACAAATCCATACTGCTTGATAAGATAAAAATTGGGGTAGAACTTTAGTTCTCTGACAGACACACTAGTCTTTTTCACTCTTTATTGCCTGAGCAAATCTGGACTAGTGAGCACCTGTAAATACTTCATGTAAGCACGAACTGCATTTTGAAGGAGCTCGTATTTATGAGAGGTACTTGGGGAAGGGGGGAAGGTATTAGTCTTAAAAATTGTTTTGGAAAAAGATCATCTGCAAAGAAACTTTAAGAAGTATTTGATTTAAAACTCATAACGAGCACCTTGCAAAACCATACTGGATTATTGTTATTTTACGCTGGGTCTTTTGATTGTATAAAGATAGCCATGGTCCTAAGGCTTCAAAGTAGGACTGATGACTTTTCACTTACGTGTTGACTCTGTGTTTTGATCCACTATTACTTTTTTTCTTTGTTAAAATTTTCAGAGTGTCCTGATGGTCTTGTGTGTACCTCAACAATTCCTTCTCATTTCAAGAGATACACTCACCTCCTGCTGGCTCAGAGCAGAGCCAGCAACCAGCCTCTCGGCAGCTCACCACATGGGCCAGGGGGTCGTTTCGGTGAGACTAATTCAGGCTTCCTCTGTAGCCTTGAGGAAAGATGGTCTCTGCATCAGAAACAGACGGAAAACTTCAAAACCGTTTCAACTACGCCCTCATCAGTGACACCGTGTCTAAAGAAATCTCAGTCTCCTGCTCAAACCAATACCAAGATATCTTCTTTGACAAATCTCCAAACATCCCAATCCACCCCACGACTTGCAGGATGTGTTAATAATGACAAACCAGTAGGAGTTGGTTTGCCTCTCGCTGAAGAATTAGACAGCCAAAACAACTCAGAACGCGCACTCTCGCCACTGCCAGAAAATGACTTTCGCAGCCACGAAATCTCTTACTCTCCACTTCAAAGTGATGAAGAGACTGACGAGATAGATGAAAAGCTAGGTGATTCACAGCAGGAACTGCTGTTTACAGAAAGCTCTAAAGATGGCAGCCTGGGAGAAGATGACACCAGCTCTTCTTTGTTTCACCAACTCCGTGGCTCCTCCCTGAGGGACCAGCAGGAGCGCGGCCCCCACGTGCACGGCTTCTTAACTCAGGATCAACACGATGAAGTATTGTATAAATACAGCACGCTAACCGGTTCGTCTCGGCCTCTTTTCCAGAATAAGAGCATCACTTCACGTGATGATGGGGCGCATACCGGTGATGATTTCGTGCCGTTGCCATCGGCATTCGCAGAGGGGCTTCCTTCTAGTTATCAAGCTGTCACAGCAAAACCTGGCAAGCCACAATGTCGGGCAAATAAACAGAAACAGGTACTTGAAGAATCAGCTGTTGGCAATCAGGTTTCCCTTCCATCACTTAATCGTGAAATGCCGAAAGCTTTTGGAAGCCAGGGAGAAGGGGATCTTTCTTTCCATCCAACCCAGGGTAAAATTAGGAAAGCATCAAATAGGAACTTCAGTGCTAAGAACAGTACTAACTCCACATGTGTCTGCGGAAAGGCATTAGGTGGTGTACAAGGCAGTAAAGTTACAATTCCAAATACAGGGAAATCTAGTGCGTCTACCGCGGCCGAGTCTCTGAAAATATCGCCATCTGGTCCAAGCTGTCCTGCGACACAGTCTTCTTCCAAGGTAATGAAACAAACGGATATAGGTGTTTATTTTGGTCTGCCACCCAAAAGAAAAGAAGAGAAATTGCTGGAAGGAAGTGCAGTAGAAGGGCTGAACTTCAATCCAGCTGTAAGTCCTAAGGAAAAGAGGTCCCGGCAGCGCAAGAGGAAAGCAGAAAAATCATTAAGTGATTTAGAATTTGATGCAAAGAATTTAAGTGAGACTCAGCCCTCCGTGGAATTTTCCAGTGAGAGGTCACAGCATCAAAGAAAGCGACTGAAAAAGTCAGATTCACTACAGGCAGGAGCACATCAGAAGAGGTCACATCGCCTTATTGATAGGACAGAATCCGAAACCCTCAATTTAAGGAAAGACAAAGTCTTCGTAAAATCAGCTTGTGGCAGGCTGCAGAGAGGGAAGACAAAAATCCCAGAGTCATCTAATGCAGGACAATTAAGAAAAAAGACATGCCCATTCTATAAGAAAATACCTGGTAAGTTGAAATGCCAATGTTTAATATACCTACAAAGAATCAACTTAAAATTTCATGTTCATTCCCCATGTTATGTGTCTGTGTTTGTATAAAACAATTTTTATATGTATTTCCTTTGTTTTTTATAGTTCATTGACCTGTAACAGATTTTTTTTTGGCCTATTTGAATGTTTTTGCCCTATTCAATGCAGCAAACTTTTATTAAATATGTTCTGTGTACAAGATCCTATACTAGTAGGTAGATATTACAGACTTGACACAGTTGAGTAAAGGTCAGCTTAATATGGAAGGAGGAAAGGCCCTCTGTAAGTAGTTATAGTAAAAACAGTCCCTATGCCCTTAAGAGAAATACTGAGTGCTAAATAGCTTCAAAGAAGGAAAACTAACAAATTGCATAGGTCATAATAAATGTCAAATAGTTTTAATGCACATCATAACTTAGTTTCTCAGCCTTTTCATATTTTATAATTCCCAGTGCCTTCATAAGTGAATTACAAAAATGCATAGTAAAATGAATTGGATTATTGAAGAAACCAGTAACTCTTCTTCTGAAGAGAATATAAAGCTGCCAAAATATACCCGGTTTCAGAAAGACTTTTTAAAGTGCTTTGATATTCCCGATCTAGAATCCAAAATGTTTATGTAGGGAATAGCATTTATGTACATCAGAGCTCCAGTTTTGTTGTTAATGATTCCTGTGATGAGTTTTCTGTATTTTAAGTGAGCCAGAGACTGGTATGCGGTGTGTGGATAAGCCTCAGTGGGATTGTGAAGTATGCCTGTTTACTGCCTCCTCACAATCCACACCCTTGGCTATTTCTTTCATGAACATTTTTCAGAACACCTCAACCATTTTTTTTTCTTATAACTCCTCTAGGTAGCCTTTTTTGGGCATTTTTTAAAAAAGATTTTATTTTTAAGTAATCTCTACACCCATTGTGGGGCTCGAACTCACAACCTTGAGATCAAGAGTTGCGTGCTCTGCTGACGGAGCCAGCAGGCACCCCAGAATTTATTTTCTGACTTCCTCCCATCCCGCACCGTGAAGTGCGAATACTGCATATGCTGTTCATCTGTTATTGTACTGTGACCCTTCGGAGACCCTCAGCCGCTGTAATTTGTAAGATTACTTGGGCCTTCAACCATGTCTGCCCCCAGTGTGCACTGCCAAAATAGAATAAAATAAGAAGAAATATAGCATTTTCCTTTTGCTGTTTTGTAGAAGTGAAGGATTTAAGTCAGGAAAACAAAGAAACAATTGGTTTGTAGCTTAGCATTTTAATTTCTTTTGGTACAGTTATTCATTGAAAAAGCAAAGCCAATAGTGGGATATTTACTAGAAACTCACAAGACTTCTTTTCATTTCTAGTATCCGATTTTGCTGAATTTATGTGGAATAAGGTTTTAGGGTATAAAGCTCAGTTGGAATCGAGATGTATAGATGGTAGGATCTGTTTACATTCGAACTGAGCATCTTCCACCCCGTTAGCTATCACTCAAGCAGCTGTGTGCTCTTTCCGTGACAGGGACTGGCTTTACAGTTGATGCCTTCCAGTACGGACTGGTGGAAGGTTGCACAGCTTATTTTCTCACACATTTTCATTCTGATCATTACGCTGGATTGTCTAAAAACTTCACATTTCCAGTTTATTGTAGTGAGGTAAGTTTCAGTATTCTAAACTCTAAATGTATGGAATGCAGAGAATTTCTAAGCACTGTGGTTGAAAAAGAGTAACTAACGTTGTAAGATCTGTCATCCTACTAGAAAAGCTATGAGAAAATAGATTCCACATTAAGATTCTAAAATTAAATGAGCTATTGTCAATAGTTACAATAAGATTTAAAAAAAATTTTTTTTTACGTTTGTTTATTTCTGAGACAGAGACAGAGCATGAGTCGGGGAGGGGCAGAGAGAGAGGGAGACACAGAATCCGAAGCAGGCTCCAGGCTCTGAGCTGTCAGCACGGAGCCCGACGCGGGGCTCGAACTCACAGACTGTGAGATCATGACCCGAGCTGAAGTCGGACGCTCAACCGACTGAGCCACCCAGGCGCCCCTAGGATTTTTGTTTAATGCTTTCTTATATGGAAACAGTAAACTACTTCATGCACTTCATGGTGCACTAAAACACCTAAGTTTCATCCAGTAAACATCTATTGAGTACCTTAAAAGACATTCACGGCAAAATACCTAACTTCAAGGCACTCACAGCCTTCAGGCGATACTTTTCCAAGTACATGGTGATGGGGTTGGTATTGTGCTAGAAAACTGAGCAGAATGCCAGCAAGTAGGAGAAAGTGCTTTACACTGTCCTAGGCCAAGGTCAGAGAAAGTTTCCTGGTGAAAGAGATACCTTGAATTAATTATTAAAAGGTGACTATTTTAAGGGTGCCTGGGTGGCTCAGTCGGCTAAGCATCGGACTCCTGATTTCAGTTCAAATCATGATCTCAGGGTTGTGAGATCGAGCCTGGTGTCAGGCTTCGCGCAGGGCATGGAGACTGTTTAAGATTCTCTCTCCTTCTACTCCTTGTGTATTCTCTTTGTCTCTCTCTCTAAAAAAGATAGAAAAGAAATGACTATTTTAATGCCTACTACTAAGGGATTTGGCTAGAATTTGATTTAATCCTCAAGGATTCTTGAATTCTTGAATTCACCTCTTTTTTTTTTTAAGTTTTTTTAAAATTTAGTTTAGAGAGAAAGAGAGAACGTGAGTGGGGGTGGGGCAGAGAGAGAGAGGGACAGAGGATCTGAAGCAGGCTCTGCGCTGACAGCAGTGAGCCCGACATGGAGCTCAAACTTAGGAAGTGTGAGGTCATGTCCTGAGCCAAAGTCGGACACTCAACCAACTGAGCCACCCGTGTACCCCTAACCTCTTTTTATTAATGAGGCAACTGAGGCTGGGAAAGGGGTTAAATAACGTGCCCCCAAGTCATAGAGCTAATAATGGCAGAGCCAGAATTTGAACACAGGTCTGTCCGATTCCAGAACCAGGTGGAAGAGAGAGGAGAGGACATTCTAGGTAGAGAGTAGAGTTTGTATAAGCGCACACACACCTTAGAAATCGACCCATCCCAGGCAGTTCGGATGATTCAGAATGGCTAACCATGAGATGGGGAATAACAGAAGATAAACCCGCAGAAGTGAGCAGGGGCCAGCTCACGCGGGTTTTGGTTGTCATCTGGAGACGAGGGACTTTACATAGATAGGGAGAGCCAGCGACAGTGTTTAAGCAGAATTGCGACAGTCATTTTAGGAAGTTTTTTTTTCTGGTATTCGAGAGGATTTCCATGAATAGCAGTGGGAGAACAGGTAGACTAAGATGCTTGGTTCTAAACTAGATCTGAAATAGGAGACTCTGTGTTTCTCTGTATCAGCAACAAGTGCGTTCTGTTTTGCAGATAACCGGCAATTTGTTGAAGAGCAAACTTCACATGCAAGAGCAATATGTCCATCCACTACCAATGGACACTGAATGTATAGTAAATGGTGTAAAAGTCATTTTGCTTGATGCCAACCAGTAAGTATTAAAGTTATATTAAGGCTGGCCTATTTTTTAAAATATTAACAAAAATAAGTTTATTTAAGAACTGTCTTATTGGGGCGCCTGGGTGGCGCAGTCGGTTGAGCGTCCGACTTCAGCCAGGTCACGATCTCGCGGTCCGTGAGTTCGAGCCCCGCGTTGGGCTCTGGGCTGATGGCTCAGAGCCTGGAGCCTGTTTCCGATTCTGTGTCTCCCTCTCTCTCTGCCCCTCCCCCGTTCATGCTCTGTCTCTCTCTGTCCCAAAAATAAATAAAAAACGTTGAAAAAAAATTAAAAAAAAAAA